GGAGGAGCGGCCCCAGCGGCGAGGGGGGCCGGGCCGGGCCGCACCTGCCGGGGAGCCGGGTCCCCGCTGACGGGGAGACCCTGCGGGGAGCGGGGGGGGGCTGGGGTCGGCGCTCGGGCGGGTCCCCCTGTGTCGGAGCCCCCGACGGAGAGGGGTTTCCCTCTCCCCCTTCCTTCCCTTCACCCCGGCCGCCGCAGCGGCTGGAGGCGGCCCGGGCTGCGGGCCGTCCTTTGCCCGTCTGGGGTGCGCAGCGGCAGAGCTGGCTCCCGGTGAAGCGGCGCCCGGCCCACCGCGCTGCCGCCTCCCTGCTCCGTAAATCGTGCTCCGGCGGTCACAAAAAAGAAGGAGCTCGAACTTCACGTCCGCCCCCGGAACGCGGCCGCCGGTTGTGTTGGGGTTTTGCTCCCCCGAGGGAGTCCGGTGCGCTCCCCGCCGGGCCGGTTGCGTGTCCTGCTGCTGGCAAACGCAGCACAGTGTATCATTGATTTCTTACTGTCCCCTCTCCAAGTTAAAGCAGCCCTACTGGGTGCTTTTGACATTCCTGGAAATAGAAATGAAAGTCAATTAAGCTTCCTGTAATATTTGATAAAGTGTGCTGTAAGCGATGGCTTTTCTGCCCCGGCTGAAGCTCCAGCCGTTATCCCGTCAGCACAAGGGCTGTCTGAAGGCGCAGTGGGCTTAAATAGGGGTAACCGTGTCTGACAAATACCAAATCTAACGATGGATACCTACAGATAAGGCTGTAGGTTATCTGCTTATAGATAAGGTCTCTGGTTATCTAGCGATAAACATCAGCTCTCTCTAAGAGTTCTGACCTTAAACACGACTTTTAAAAAAGCGTAGAGCCTTAGATTATGTATGTCATGCTTTTAGATCTTTCAAGCTTCGGGTTGTTACTCTGAAAATGGTTCTGAAACTGATCACCTGGAAGACAGATGTCAGAATGCAATATCTGCAATAGGCAGATACTTTGCCTTATTGATATGGCTTGTTTATGGCCAGCGGATGGTAAAGGGAAGAGCCAGCCCTGCTCCCACTATGGCACAGTGCCGTTCATCCAAATCCAGTGTTTAATGCCCAAAATTTGTCCTGTTTATGTGCTTGCCCTCGTTGAATTGACACAAGCGCTTGCCGTCTTATTTGCTGATGATTCCCAACTTTTTATTGCGCTGCTGCATGCCTTTGCAGTTCGTCATGATCCCTTGTCTGCCAAATTTGGTTGGTAACAGTGCCCTTTAAGTCTGATTCTGGAAGGAGTTTCCATGTGGCTTGTCATCTTAATCAGACGTTTGCTCATAGTTTCTAAAAGAATCGCCTGCCTTGCTGTAGATATGGCTTATTTTAGAACAGTTTTTCATGATTGTCTTTTAAATTTTATATAGCGAATTAAATATGGTGAATAGCTTAACCAGAGTTACTGAATAATCCTAGAATTGTGAGATGAAAGATCATTTTTTAAAAATAAAGTTCTGCGTTGATTTCTCTAACCCACTAAAGTTAGTGGAGTTAAGCCATATACGGTTCAGTCCAGAATGTGGTTGGTTGGTCCTTTTCCTGTCTGACTTTCCTTGGATCTGTGTAATACACGTTTGAAAAGACCTTTTAGGAGGAAAAAAATAATTCTTTTTTTTTTTTCCCCAAAGCGTGATCTTTAAAAATAGTGCCTTTGTATTTGAGGTAACGTTTCTATATTTGGTAGCAAAGCTATATAAAGCAGTTGATCCTCGACAAAAATAAAATCTTTTGACTGAATGACCTTGCTTATTTTTCCAAGTGCTGGTGGTTACACACTCTCACAGGGGTTTGGTGAATACAGATTTTTATGTTTGTAGGTACCATAAGAATTCCTTACAGCTGTTTGATAAGGGAAACTTCCAGATGAGGAAGGTATTTGGTCCTCTGCCTTGATATTTATGAAGGCGTGGAAGGATCTTGTTTACCTACTCACGTTTTGTCAGCTTTGTAAGACGATACTTGTTTCAATATCATTGGAGGCCCAGCTATTTATTACATTAGAAATGGGAGAAAATGAAGCTTCCCTTGTAGGTGGATTGTCAAAGGTTCCTTTGTTATTTATTTTAAAAGAGGAGGAGGGAGAAGGGGGAGAGAAGAGGTTGCTCTGTTAAGGATTTAATCTTCTCAGCCAGAAGGTTAAGAAGTCTGCCCGTCTGCATCAGACTGGCATCGCTACAAGCCAGCGATGCAGCAAAGCCGTCCAATTTTGAGAGAGCTCCGTTGAGCTGCGTAATTCAAGTGAGTGTGTCCTCATTACGGAGCGACATCTTAATCTACATGCAATATTACAATAGTCGTAGGTAGTGAATATGACCCTCTTTCCCCCTTTCTGTTCTTTTTTTCTTTTTCTCATTAAAAGCTCCAGTTTTGGCACCCGGGCTGTGAACTTAAGCTGTGGAGGCTTAAGCTGATGGGAAGGTGGGATAAACTATCAGCCTAATTATAGCTTGGTTTAGCCCTGATTTGTTTAACAGTTCCTTTAGCCAAAAGTCCCGTCCCCTCCCCGAAAAATGGACTCTCAAATTCCTGGTGTATTTATGACAGTGTGTTTAGGAATTACCGTAGAATAAAGTCAGGTATGGATGTATTTTTCCCTAAGTAACTCAGAAGTTGGTATGCTTATTTTGGAACAGGCTCCAAGGCTAGATAGAAATAGGGTGTTTCTTGCTCTGGAATAATCGTGTCCATACATGGAGTTATTTAGAGGCTACTTTCTCAACACAATCCAGAGGTCTTTAAAACCTAACAACAAAGAAACCTATCAGCTTTTGGGGCGTTTTTTTAGTGTCTCGTGAAGTAAGGAATGGCTACAGGTTAACTTCCCCTTCCCTCACTCTTGTCACTTCTGTAGGATTGTTTTATTATCTTTTCGGATACTTTGTTTGCCTCACAAGGATCTTAGGTTCTTGGTAAACTATTAATATGTACTAGCTAAAAAAAGAAAAAAAAAAAGGCACAGACTGAAAGATTTAAGTCCTCCTACATGGAAATTTGTGAATGTATAACCACACAACAATGTTTTAAAAGTAATTTCCAACCAACCACTAAAGAAAAGGAAGGGAGCACATATTGCATCATTAACCTCTACCAGAAGATGAAGAATGTCATTCTGGGTTTTAATGGGGATTTTTGTGTCCTTAATCTGTGAAGATGGCGATCCTTATGTTTTGTCTGAAAACTGGGTAGAAGAATTCTTTGGGAACCCCATTTATGGTGAGATAATTGGAAATTGTAATTTATCTGCTTAGCTCCAGCCTTCTGGTTCTCATTTAGCAACCTCAATTCCAATGGCATTATCTGAAAACCACAATCTAGCAACTGGTACTGGGAATAAAGAGGCTTTTCTCAGTAAGGACTTTAAGACCTGAGGAATTGAGCGACACTAGCCCAAAATAGGCAAGAACAATGCTTAAACTTATAAGGTGCTAACATGGGTTTGCGGTCTTCACAGACTTAAGTTGTAATTTAGCATTGTTTTGTAATATGATTAATAGCATAAGCACTTCTTTATTTAGGCTGAGCAGTGGAAATGATTTTTCCAGTAAGTTTTGCGTTTAAACATGATTCAGCTTTTGAGTGTGGCATGGACAGAGTCTGAGGACGGGACTTCTACAGAGCTCCCCAGTTCGCTCTTTCCTTTCAGTAGCATCTGAACATCGGGATTAATGATTTCTTTGAAATGTGAGGAGCAGCTTAGCAAAACGTACATAGTGTGCTAACGCATTGTTTTGTTGGGAAGCGTTACCACATCCAAGAAATCTGAAGAGTAATG